ACGTTCGTGAAGGTAGTCATCCAATTGATTTGGATAACGTTGATGTTGATCCTTCTAGTGTTCCAATGAATTTGGAACAAGATGAAGAACCTACATTAAATATTGAACATGTAAGAGGGAAAAGAAAGGGGAAGAAAGGGTAAAATGTTGGGACTATTTCAAATTGGTTAACACCGGTTGTGTAGTTGATGGACTTCCAGAAACCAAAACAGTATGTAAATACTGCCAACAACGACTGGCATGACAAAGAGGTATTGGAACCACCCACCTCAACCGTCACTACAAAACATGTGCGGCCAAACATGAGCTTCTTCCCACTGGTCAAACGCAACTACAGTTTGGTAGTAGTAGGGCTGGTGCTACTACTACACCACTTTTTACGTGGATGTTTTCGAAGGAGGAAACTCGAACGGGAATGGTGAAGTTCGTTGCCGTGGCGGAGCTACCACTAGCAATAATGAACAACCAACATTTCGTAAATTACGTCAAACAATATCTTCAACCGAGGTACATTGGGGTAAGTCGAAATACTCTTCATTCTAATACAATTGAATATTTTCTTAATGTAAAGAAATTATTGATTGCGGATTTAGAAAAATATCAGGGTGTGATATCTTTAATTTCAGATTTGTGGGAAGGGATTAATAAAAAAGGTTATATAGCTGCAACCGCACACTATATAGACCCACTTTGGGTCATGCATAAAAGAATTATTACTTTTAAAATTGTTGAGTATCCTCATAATGCTCAAACTATATTTAATACTATTATGTTAATAATTAGAAAATATAAATGCGAGAGTAAAATTCATTTTTTTTACGTTTGACAATGCTTCCGTAAATAAAGTTGTTATCGATAAATTGCATAGAGTACTTCAACTCGATTTCGGTGGTTATTTATTTCATATTCAATGTGTGTGCCATATTTTTAATTTAATTGTAAAAGACGGTTTAAAACATGTTAAAGACGAAATTAGACGAATTATAAATGCACTTATATATATCACGATTACACCTAGTAGAAAACAAGCATTTGAGGAATTTTGTGAACAGGTTGGGAATGAGCATACAAAAACATTTATTACTGACGTAGGTCATAGATGGAACTCAACTTACTTATTATTAAAATCATGTGAAGGTTTTGAACCGTTTATCACTGAATTTTATAACAATAGGCATATTAGAGACGACGACGATGATATCTTAAATGAATCCGATTGGAATACGGTTTTTAAAATTAAGAAATTTTTGGAAAGTTTTTATACGTCTACGAATATATTGTCTGGTGTTTATTATCCAACTAGTTGCATGGTTCTTGAACGTCTTTATATAACTGCTAGGGCTTTTAATAGATATCAAAATGACCCTGATTTGCATGCGGTTATATATGCTATGGAATTAAAATTTAGAAAATATTGGGAAGAATTACCTATGTTATTTCCTTTAGCATGCGTCATGGACCCCCGATATAATTTATCGGGTACTAAATTTATAATTGACTAAATTTCAAATGCTTTAACTTTTAATATGCCTATTACTTATAGGAATTTGGAAAAAAACGTTAATTGAAATGTATGAATTATTTGCTTCAATAATAGTTACAAATTTTTCTGGTTTACCTACAACTCCTCCTCCCACTAATATTTACGATGGCGACGCTGAAGTTTTAAATTTATTCGAAAACATAAACTAATTTAGATATGATTCAACTGCATATGCATGTGGTTCCTCTAATAGTAGTAGTCTGTCTTCCATTACATGTACTCAAATTTCGAGTACTAGTCTAAATGCGTTGTCATATGAATTAATTGATTACTTTAGTTATACTTTATTTAGTAACAAATCAGTTAGGAAAAGTCCAGAAGATGTCATTGAATTCTAGCGAAATAACGAACGCCGATTGCCAATAGTTTCTGTGATTGCAAAAGATCTATTAACACCTCCAGTTAGCACTGTAGTTTCGGAATCTTCTTTTAGTGCAGGGAAGAGGGTTCTCTCTGAGATCCAAAGTCGACTAAATGAAGATATTTTGGAAGCATTAATGTGCATGAAGGATTGGGAAGACGCTAATTATCGAATTCAACATAAA